CCCGTACAAAGGGTGTCGGCTGTGGCAGCCATGACACAGCCATCCCCAGCTGAGGCCTGAGGAGCCGTTTCCACGGTCTGCACTCGCTGGCTGTTTACTAATAGCTGGCACCTCGGGGAGGCCACCCGTGCCACGCCCCGCTGCCAGGCAGGCGTACCCATGTTGCCGTTCTCCATGCCACGGATGTCGGGGCGCAGGCGGCAGTCGGTGGGCGGCAGGGTCCTCTCCATACCCGTCTGCAGCTCGTTTAGGCTCAAGGTGAAGCTCGTGAAATTGTACATCTGTGGAGCAAGGGAGAGGCGGGCCAGTCGCCTCTGCACAGCGCTCGGCTGGGGCTTTCCACTCCCTGAACAGCCTTCCTGGCCACTGGCACCTCCTCCGCCCCATCCAAGCTCAGACACTTGTGCCAGCCCCCAAGATGCCCCACATCGCTGTCTGCGTGAGCTTACCGCGTACCTGAGGCCAGGTGGGACCCACACACCACCACCCCCTTCCCAGCAGGCCCCTGCAGCCTCCAGGTCTGCCTCCACCCCGCCATCTCAGCCAGTGGCCAGAGAGTCATGCCCGGAACCCCCAGGGTGCCCTGGGCTCCGAGCTCTGCACCCTCCTGGTCTGCTGGTCCTTCTGTTGCCCCCAAGGGCCCTGAGCTTGTGGCCTTCAGGAGCCGAGTGCGCCTGGGGCTCTGTCCTGGTGTCGCCCTGCAGAATGCGGCCTGCAGTGGCCACTCAGAGGCACCTCCCTGCCCTGGTGGGTCCCCAGCGCCTTCTCAGGTACCCCTAGCTCTCGCAGCCCACAGCCTCATGCACCTGCACCATCTGGCGCCAGGGCAGGTGGCAAGCCGCGAACACCCCACGGGCTTGCCCTGCAGCCCCTGGCTGGGCACAGCACTCAGGAGCTGGGTGCCCGGGCCGGCTGCAGCTCAGACCCAGGCCTGGGTAGCTTGAGTTGCTCCCCAGTCAGGCGGGATGCGGAGAGGGAGGAAGAGGGACACGCCCCTCAGCCGCGTGCGCACATGTATGTGTGAGCGTGACTGTGCACACACCTTCCAGCAAGAAAACACATCAGTGACACAGGCTGGGGGCGTGAGGGCCGTTCGTGCAAGGATTTCCCACCCGGAAGAAACAGCTTTTCTTCCCTAAAACACAGCTGAAAACGGGCCCTCCAGTTCCTCCTCCACTGAAACGAGAAGCACGGCTGTGAGGGCGCTTGGGGTGGGGCCTCCTCTGCATTCACACACGCTGTGCCGTACATACTATGAGTACGACCTGGCAAGGCCGTGAAGAACGGCACGGTGAGTTATACGCATCCTCATACGGGCAGTGTAATTTACAGTATTACAACAAAGCTTTTTACATAACGAACCACGGTTGCCCATCCCAGGCTACATGCTATGTGTAGTACCAGCAGAAGTTCGATGACGTAAAACTGCAGTTTTCAAAACTAAGCATCAGGATGCATTTCAGCATCTAAACTGCAAAGTCAGAAAAATACCTCCTCCAAGCAGAAGAGGGATGTTCCTTTGATGAGACACAGGGGGACCTAGGAGGGTACGGGCCATGTGCCTGGCGTTCTCGGTGGAGGACCAGGGTGCACAGGGGTGGCAGCTCCCAGAGGCACGGCCCTGTACCTGTGCCGGCACCTGGGTCCCTGCCCTAGCGGGCCGACAGTGGGAGCCATCTGCGAGAGGGCTCGGTCACATCAACGCAACCTGACAGGTGTGCCCTGGGGCAAGGACGGGGCAGGTATGGAAGAGGGGTGGGGAGCGCCAAGAGGCCCCAGAGAGTTCAGGTGTGGGGTGCCCGAGACAGAGGAGTGCCCTGTGCGGGTGGCGGGTATGGAGGAATACGCACCTGGGCAGAGTTGGGGGGCCGGGTGTTGATCCTCCAGAGCAGCTTGCTGCCCGGGATGACCTGCACGCTGTCCTGAACCGCGGGCATGTCGTCAACCACATCGCTGTCGGCTTTCTCGGAGCCCTGGTCCTGCAACACAGAACGCCGTGGCTGACAGGGACAGCTGCCCTCAGCCCGAGCCCAGCATGAGCCCCAGACGGAGCCTCCCTTCTTCCTTTCAAAAGAAGGAGAAAACCAGCTCTCCTGCAGCGCACGATGCCAGCAGCTCAGAGGCCGGCCTCCTGCTCCCGCTCCCACAGCTGCGCACGCTCTCGGACACCAACGGCAGACAGGGAGCCAGCGCCACAGCCCTCCTTCCGGGAGAGGCTCGTGCCAGGGTGCCCTGTGGAGCTGGGCACAGTGGCAGGTGGGGCCCGCAGGGCTGCAGGCTGACCACCGAGGCGCAGCCCGGCCTCTGTCCAGAGGCCTGCACTGAACCTGCACCTACCCTCACGGAGGCTCAGCTACCACGTGAGCCTTCCAGTGGGCGGGCCGCAGCGGAGAGGGCAGCACCAGAGGGACAGCAGAGCTGAGAAGGCCCTCAGGGCCATCACTGCAAGGGCTCGAATGGGGTTCACTTCTTTCACATCAACAACGATTACAAAAGGTGCTGCTAACTCCCCGGGCTGCCACAGAGTAGAAGCGTTAGGCTCCAGAGGGGTCTGGGCATTTCTGGCAAGTCGTCGGCACCCCGGGCTGGGACGCTCACTGTCACCTAGGCCGCGCGACTCCGTGAGCCACTTTAGGTCCTAAGATGGTGAGCACTGCGAGGCTGGGGGCCTGGAGGGTGCCCTGTGGCGGTGCAGCGCGTTACCTGGTACTCACTAAAACACAGGTGCACCCCGACCTCTCTGATGGGCCTAGGCTCCCGCAGAAGGGAGAGGGGAGACTGAGAAGGACCTGGAACCTGGGGCTCCCAGGAAGCACCTCGGGAGCACAGACTCGTTCGCCGGCCCAGAGACCCCAGCTGCCGCCCGGAGCTCACACAGACCAGTGCCCCCACGCCGGCAGATGAACCCGCCACACTTGTGTCTCCTGGCCAGGGCCCGGGAAGTGGGCAGAGCTCCCGCCAGGGCGAGCTGCAGGTGTGGTCGACGGCCAGAGCCAGGCCGCCCTTGTCCAGTGGTGGGTCCCGCCTGGGGTTTCCAGGAGTGGGCACTCACCAGTGTAACCTTCCTTGGGCGGTCGCCCCTCTTCTGCTTCCTGAAGGCCTCGTAGGAGATGGGGTCGATGCCCCACAGGCACTCCGTCCACTTGCCGTAGATCACAGACAGCTGCTTCTTGCTGGAGTCAAGTGGGGTTTTGGAAGCAGGTTAAGCGCGGCCGAAACCATCCACCACGCGCAGCCCTTCCTCTGAGCGTGGGACAGACCCTCGGGCCTGTGTCCTCTTGCACACTGTGGTATCTCTGCACGTGATGCAAGGTGGCAGTCACCCCAGCCACCGGAGAGGCACTGTCCCTGGCCCACGCCAGCAGGGAGGAGCAGGCTGGCACTGAGCTCAGTGGACGGGAGGCCATGCCCTGGCCGCCTGGGCATGAGGCTGTGCGTGCCCACCTCCGCCACACTTGAGTACCCAAACTCCTGTGCGTCCCCGGCCTCTCCCTGAGTGACACCACAGTTGACCCTGGTCACTGCCTCTGCTTCCTGCCTGCATTTTCATTTCCGACTCAAGACCATGACCCTCCGGCCCCAGGGCTTCCTGCCCGACCTCGACCCGACCCGATCCCAAGGATGGCCTGCTCTTGTCAGCCACTTGGTCCTGTCCTTTTGCTTCTGCCCGGGACAAGCGTGGCAGCCACGTGTTCCCAGAAGCAGGTTCAGCGAGTGCCTGCGTCCCTGCGCCCAGAACTCACAGCTCCCGGCCTCCCCAGCCAGGACGGCGCTGGAGCTGTCTGTGCCCGAGGGAAGGGGTGTTGGG